GAAGTATGGACACAGGCTAAGGATGGACACAGAGTAAGGATGGATGAACTGGTAACCTCACCTCCTGCCACAGCTAAACCTGACGTTGAGCAAAACAGCCATGGATGTCCGCCCTGGATCCCAGAGAAAGATCAGGAAACATGATGAAAGAGGCTGGGAATATGTCCTGAATGGCACCTTTCCAAAACAATGTCTACAATGTTATTGCAATCACTTTTACTGTCACAGCCTCATGTCCCACCTTGTAAAGGGGGAAAGGGCAGTGACCTACTAAGCTATCTTGTAGCAGGAACTCCTCCACGCTGCCCCCAGGACCCATGTCACACAGCACACCTTATGTGGGACAAGGCAACAAGAGGCAGCAGCTGGTGTGCAGGTCACTGGTACAGGAAAACTAACTCTGGCTATTCCCATAAAAAGTGGCATTCTTTACAAGTATGAGACTTTCAAAGGCACAGCACTATGCACGGAGCAAGTCCTTTTAAGAGATGTTACTGGGCACTAACAGAACACCCTGCACCCTGACTGCTGCTCCTACATACTCACACAGTATCATAATGTTGAGGAAGAGGAGAAGGCTTTTCAGTTTGCTTTTTCTCCATCCCTTCCCCCCTCAATCACTTGAATGCATTCATCAGGCAGGACACTAATGGAAAAATATGACTGAGCTCAAGGCCCCAAAGCTCTGAGGAGCTTTTTTATAAACTGCATGGGTCCAATAAGCAGACATTTGGCAGGATGGTTTGGACTGTCTCAGAAATCACAGCATCTCTCTGGAAGGGGCCTTGCTCACTCTTGCCCCTGCTACCCAAAGCAGCTGTCACATTCTGAAATCTGTGCTTCCCTCTGGCATCCCATGTATTTCTCATCCCCCAGGCGCACTCTGCTCACTGCATCCATGCCACTCATACTCAGAAGCGCCAGTTCTGCAAAAGGCTCTGTTCTGGTATATTTATATTCAGTTAGAGCATGAAATGCCTACAAGAAAAGGGCGAGGGAAAAGGGACACACTTCTATGTCCTTTCATTAGTGGTTTGCTTTGAGGATAGGCAATGATCATGTGCGCCTCTTTACACCCACAGATCTAAAGCACTGTATACACTGCTGGGTAAATAATACAGTCCCTTTTACAAAAGGATTAAGGTGGGACTTTCGAAGGAGTTACCCTGCTCCTTCTAAATTTTCTAGAGGCCTGCTTTGAACATCCAGCCACCGAGACCCACTTGAAGCTCAAGGCGAGGCAATGGCTACGAATCCACATCTTTTCACTCATTTCCCAGGTTTGCAAGCATTTATGTTGGCAAACCTTTTGTCTCAGTCGCAAGCCTAGCCACTGGGTCATGCTACCCTTGATTAATTATTGAATGGCTACTAACTGCAATATGTGGTGGGAGGGAGGGAAAAATAAAATACAAATAAAATATAAAACCACTTCATAATACAACCAAACCAGTTTTGCATCTCTTGCATCATTTGGCAAGCATGGAACAAGTAACACAGTAATACAGAAATGTATTTGGTCAAAGTAAGGAATCAATATTTTTCGATAAAATACATTCTATATTAATGCTCATTCACATTTATTACACATGTAAATTAAATTTTCTACGTATAAAATTCCAGTTTATTCTCAGTGCTGGTTGGTCATGCTTCAGTTCAGCAGCAGGGCTCAACACATTCCACTCCTAGCAAAGTGAGAGGGAACGAGAGCGCTCAGCTCTGTGCAGGACCAAGCCTCACGCATCCCCTGGTCCTGCAGGTCCCATCTGAACAAAATCTTGCTGGCATCAGTGGGAGTTTTGCAGGCCTGTGCACTGCAGAAGGGCCCCCAGCTGTCCAGCACTTGTAGTCTGGTGTGGAAGTCACCCAAATGGTATATGGCATTCCAAAAAAAAGTAAGTTAGTGAATACAGAAAATAATAATATATCTACATAATTTACAGCATTGTTTGCTTGCAACCATATTAATGTTCAACCCCTCACTAACAATTCAATCAATACACAGGGAAAGGTAGCAGAGTGTAGTACATATTACAACCTCCTGTATGCAGTTGCAAGCACTGGATCCTACAGTCTTTCCTCATTTCCTGAATTGCCATGTATCCTGCTGCCGGCCAGAGCCCCGTTCTCCACTGAGCCTTGTGGAGTCAATCCTTCACAGCATTTAGGCTGGTCTGCACCTCCACCGTGGGCCCCTAACACTGTGCGAGGCGCATTTAGCAGGAGGTCTTCAGCTACTAGCCCGGTCCACCCCTGCACCCTCCCCTCTGCTGTGCTGGCACTCGTCTGTGCAGCCACACACTTAGCCAGATGGTAGGACTGATCCAGCTGGAAAACTACCTGTCTGTAAAAAGGCAGAGGGTTATATGCCAGTCAGACAGACCCCTCAGCCCAGCTCACGATGCAGCCATGCCACATCTTCTGCAGGTGTGTGTGTGGATGCCTGCACCTCCCCCTGAGTCAAAAGGGTGCAAGTGGCCAGCAAACCTGGATGGCAGGACTATTCCTCCTGCTTGGGCTACTGTAAACTGCTTGCTTGCATTATGCTAGAGCAGAGGAAAGTCAGCCCCTACTTGTATGAGCCACGACCCAAGGACTGGATGCTATGAAGAGAAAGGTTTTCCTGAAGGAAGGCTTTGTTTGAGGTTATAATATCTGTCCTAGCTGGAGAGGAAAGAAAAATTTAGGGACTTAAAGCAGGGATGGAAACCACTGGTCTTACACTTTATTTTAGTAAGCAAAAAGCCTATTGCTGCTGTACAGTGTTATACAATGAACTGCCACAGTTCTCACGTCACTAGTCCATAGAAAATGTGCTGCGACTACCATGTTTACGCTGCATGCTGAAAGAATGTACAAAGTTGCATTAAGCTCTGGTTTTCTTCCACTTTTTTTTCTTTTTATATTCTTAAACTCTGACTTTTACAGTGTTGTAGACACTTCTGTGCAGACTCAGGTACCACACATCATCCCAGTTACAGAAGGTCTTTGCCTCCAACTGAAAAAATCATGTGCTATGCATCTCTGAAGCCACTATCATCAAACCACCAAGAAAACTTGCTCTCTTTAGTAACCTTGGAAAAAGAGTCTTTAAAAAGTCTATTGAAAAGGAGACATTGTTAATAATAGGGTTTTCAAAATGATGAGAGCTGTTTCTAGGAGTTGTCCAAGCATTTTCTCTTCACTCACTCTTTGTTTTTATAAAGCTAATTCTGTATAAAAGGGCTTTTGAAACATGTGACCTTTGTCTAATGGTTTTTAAAAAAGGAGTGAATTTAGAAACATTTTTCTTCAGTTGTATTACAACAGAATTACCTTTGCTTCTTAAATTTTCAGTACAAAAGGCAAGTAAATAAAGAGACCCTGCATCTTCACAGTCTGGCACTCATCCAAGTCACTTAAATCTATGCAAAACAGGTATAAAACGTGAGGGTCTTCCTCTCCTTTATACCAAGACCCTCACCAAACCCTTCTGGGGAGCAAGTTCCCTGATAAATAAAACTCACTAGATTTTATATCAGTCAAAGTAGTAGTATTTTAACTCCCCTTCAAAGAGGTGTAAATGACCACACCAGCTCAAAGGCCCAGGGAGAGGAAGAGGTCCAGCATAATTTTAAGAACCAGGTGCTGGTTTATATCCCTATGGCTTCAATGTTAGGTTGCACTCAAGTTGCACTTAAGGTGCACTCAAGAAGGACCCTGGAAACAACAGGCCAGTCAGTCTCACTTCGGTGCCCAATAAAATCTTGGAAAAGATTATTCTGGGAGGTACTGAAAAACACCTGGAGGACAACACACTCTTCAGCCACAGCCAGCTCGGCTTCATGAGGGGAAAGTCCTGCTTGTAGAACCTGATTTCCTTGTATGACAGGGTAACTCACCTACCTGATCTAGGAAAGCCAGCAGATGTCATCTTTTTGGACTTCAGCAAAGTTTTTGATACTCTCTCAGTATCCTTCTGGACAAAACGTCCAGGACCAAGCTGGATAACTGTGTTAAGTGAGCAACTGGCTCACAGGTTGGGCAGAGGAGTTATACTGAGGGGTAACACTGGGCTGGCATCCAGTCACTAGTGGAGTTCCACAGGGCTCCATTCTCAGCCCAGTTCTCTTCAGCATCTTCATTAACAACATGGATGCAGGACTCAAAGGAATACTAAGTAGGTTTGCCAAAACACTAAATTGGGAGGAGCAATTTAGTGACTCCCTCCAGGGCACAGAGGCCCTGCAGAGAGACCGCGACAAATTAGGGAGATGGGCAATCTCTCACCAACTCGATGAAGTTTAACAAGGGCAAGTGCTGGATTCTGCACCTAGGACAGGGCAATCCTGGTTGTGTGTATAGACTAGGGAAGGAGAGGCTGGAGAGCAGTACTATGGAAAGGTACTTGGGGATCCTGGTCAGTGGCAAGCTGAATATGAGTCAACAGTGCCCTGGTAGCCAGGAGGGCCAACCATGTCCTAGGGGGCATTAGGCAGGTCCAGGGAGGGGATTGTCTCACTCTGCTCGGCACTGGTGTGGCCTCACCTTGAATATTTTGTGCAGTTTTGGGTACCACAATATAAGAAAGCCATTAGGCTATTAGGGAGCATCCAAAGGAGGGCCACGAGGATGGTGCAGGGTCTGGAGGCGAAGCCGTATGAGGGGCAGCTGAGGTCACTTGGTTTGTTCAGCCTGGAGGAGACTGAGGGGAAACCTCACTGCGGTCTTCAACATCCTCACGAGGGGAAGCAGAGGGGTGGGTACTGATCTCTTCACTCATGTGACCAGTGACAGGACTTGAGGAAACGGCAGGAAGCTGAGTTGGGGGAGCTTTAGGTTAGATATCAGGAAAAGGTTTTTCACTCAGAGGGTAGTTGAGCACTAGAACAGGCTCCCAATGGAAGTGGTCACAGCACCAAGCCTGCCTGAGCTCAAGAAGCATTTGGACAACACTCTCAGGCACACGGTGTGATTGTTGGGGTCTTCTGTGCAGGGCCAGGAGTTGGACTTGATGATCCTTATGGGTCTCTTCAAACTCAGTATATTTTATGATTCTAATTCACGATGCCACGAGGTTTGAGTAATAATTTGGCAGTGTATCAAAACCAGCGAAGCTTAAAGTTGGTTGTCATGCAGAAGTGAGATAGGCAATGGCTATTTTTTACTTCATTTGTAAGAAAGCAGCACTTGCCTTTGGATCACATGGTGTTTTGAGTACCAGGGCTGACAATAATGTGTGCTGCTGATACACATTACTCCCAGTTATTAATTCAGCACTTGTAAACTCAGGTGTCAGTAAAACAACATTAATATGTCTGACACCCCCTGGATTTCCCACTTCCCATTATTTTTGTTAAGCCTTCACATGCACTTCTGCAGCACCAACCACTATTAAACTACTGTTTTTAAGGAGAAGTTTCTCCAAGTTTGGTACTTTTTCAAAAACTATAGCTGTTGAACTAAATAGAAGAGCGCAGGTTGTGTGGTGTTTGCTCTCTGCGCTGGTTTCCTTGGAAAGGTCACCGGTGAGGACTCGGCACTCTCACCACACGTTTCCTACATTCTCAGTACTCTACATTCACGTCAGCGAATGCTACTCTCGAGCACAAATCGAAGAGACAAGTCAGCAACAAAACTACTTCTAGACTGATAGCGGCAGAATGCTACCAAGACAACTCCATAGAAAACCCACTGAAGCAGGAGCAAAATTCAGGTCACTTCTTAGCAAAGCTCATCACAAATTATTATTATTATTATTTTTTTTTTTAAAACCATTTTTTGTGAAACTTTTATCTTGGCAGCCAGATATCCCCTTGTGATGTGCTAATTCGAACAGGCTAACGTGGGACCACCTGACCCCACCTGGTACCAAAGGCTTCCGAATTATTTTAGCTTCTCAGAAAATCACTGCTGACTGACACCCATCTGTTGGTGATCAGCTTCTGGTTCCTCTTCTTCCACATCTGCGTTATATTCTTCAAATGCATCATCATCAACATCTGGAAGCCCAAGTAACTACAAAGAAGAGAAAATACTGTGTAACAGTGAATTACCCACTCATGCAGCTTTACTGCAAATCTTCACACAAATCCTACATGCCACTTCTTGAAAACCTTAAACCCTGGAATAACAGTATTGCATAATGATCTTGGCTCTCTTTCTCTCCCTCCTGGGACAGAGAAAGAGTTGAAAATGCATCCTCACACCAAATTAAGTGCTCAGAGACCGGAAGATAAATAAAACCAAAACAAAGCACTTGCAAAAAGCTTCACATTCTTCCCTGAGGTTGCATTATGAATTGTTGAGTGTTTAAGACTTGGCAGTGGTTTAACTTCAGAAAGAATCATGATAATACTGTAGCAGTAGTTATCTTGGTTTAAGATTGTTTTTTAGCAACACTATAAAAGCCAAAGAAGAAAGCATCCTCATGTAGAAACGGCTAGTATGGAGTAGGAAAGGACTCCCTAAAAACCTTAAGAATCCAGCCTGCTAAATGCTTCTCTTGAACCCTTCACTCCAATACACCAGACAAAGCCTTGTACACTGGGTGAAGCCCTTGTAGTGAGAAATACTGTGTATTCCACTCAAAACTGTCTGAGCCCCTTTAAACTTCTGCAAATTAGATCTGGGCTTGTGAGGAACTGCAAGCCCGTCTTCTTTGGACAATGTTTGGATGCCTCCACCTGATGGCTCCGATCACTGCAACGTGCCTTGTTCACTACAGGAAAAGGAGCAAACAGCCATGTTTGAACTTTTCTCCTCTCCTCCAAAAGGCTGCCAAGCCAACAGAAGTCAGGAAGAGAGATAAACCAAATAATACTCAAAACAACACATCTGTTGTGGAAATCTCATATTAGAATCCTACACTAACAACTATTAATAGCCACAAAGCAAAATCATATGCCAGGCATTACTGGGAATACCATGTATTTAGCTTGCAAGGGCTGGAAGATCAGCGCAGATGCATGAAAGACTCTGTTTGGAGAATGATGCAGCTGTTAGCTCTTGAAAGAGGTAAAGCCCATAAAAACTGGGAGGAGGGTGACACTCGCTAGGTGAGAGCACAAAAATGAGAAGGCTGAGACAAGGTAGATTTTCAGAGACCTAAACTAATTTAGTCTGTGATCAACATTCAAGATTATTCAGTGGACACAAATACAACGCACAGAATTAGCTTCTGAATGCAATGAAGCTTGTATTCCTCACTGTCACTGGGAGACAATCAGTTTTTTAGTTGCAGGGCTTCTTCAGCAGGGAAATGGAAGGAGAATTTTCTGATTAAATCCCCTCCTTTGTATTTTAAAAATACTTACAGCGAGACCCCAAACGGAAAATGTTCTTGTCTTCTGAGCAGAACAAAGTAAACTCCTAAACTCTTTCAAATCAAATGCTTAACTGAACGCGAAACTGCTTCGTTCATTTTCAGGATGCGGGGGTTTTGTTTTGTGTTGAAGCTAAAATTAAAACACTCAGTTTTCAAAAGGCAAAAGCAAGGGCTCTCTAGACTTTCTTATACACCAGTATTATTTTTTGCTAAACTGATCTGGTGGATTCAAATTAAATGTGAGTGTTGTACTCCTCTGTTTACACCACCTGGCAGAAAGCGTTTTGACCCTATTTTTTTTTCCCAGCTCTGGTTATAATTCCTCCTTGATTTGCAAGGAAATGAGGCATATGAGTTTTCATTTTATGGGATACTGCAAGACTTCCTCATGCAAACATGAGCATGGAAAACACAACATACACCACAAGAACCACAAAGACTTATACAGTCCCAAAGCATGGGAAACACATCCTGCTTTTCACACATCCCCTCTCTCTTTGCCCTTGGGAAACCCAGCTCTTCTTCCCCTGGAGCAGTGCAAATAAGAGTGATGCTGCAGATGTTGGTGGTTTTATGGAGGAAGGATGGGGATGGGATGAAGTGGGGTGGAGTGGAATGGGATAGGGTGGGGTGGGGTGGGATGGGATAGGATAGGATGGGACGGGATAGGATGGGAGGCTCCTCCAAGGAAGATGCAGTTTTATTCTCTCACGGACCCTTTATGACCTTCCAAGGCACCAAGGACCTTGACCATGCAGATCTCGCTTTTAGGGGCTGAATCCCGTCGCCTCCCATAGGACTATGGTCCCTCACTGCTGTTAACCCCTTACTGCTCTCTGGACTGCAGTGGCAAATCAGCCCACACCTTGACACCAAGGAGGGATGATCAGGGTCCAAAGTGCAGGGAGCTCTACAAACACCGGGTCAAAATGGAAGGAGGGCGTACAAAAGATAAGGACAAAATAAGATGGTGAAGATGGCCTGAGTTGGCTCTAGACTAACTCCGACCTTGTCTTCTTTCAAACACACTAGTTCCTGCTTCTAATCCATATCTGCTTCACATATTACATTATCAGCTATGTGGCAGACTTGAAAGGATTTAATTGGAGAGCAAAAATAAGGAGAAAAGAGGTAAAAGAGGAAAGGGGTGTAGAAACGGAGAGCTGATCCATCAGTAAAAGAGCCAAGGGGAACAAAACTGCCAGGTGGAGACCCGTGGAGAGGAGGAAGACAGGAGCATGGTGAGAAGGGAGGGAGGAAAGCAGGGAGAGAAGATAACAACCAGTGGCAGCACTGCCTGAACTACATCTATTTATTCCTGCTGGCCAAACTACCCATCTGGAGGTAAAGGAGAGGTCACCAGGATATGTATGAATTCAGTGAATATGGGATAAATGGCTTTTACACTGCAGATTCCCTAGTTCAGATGTAGGCTTTTTCAGGCTGAAGAGGAGCATGCTGTGCGACACCCGGAATTTGCCGCTGAATTGTACAACTCACACCTTGGTTCTCTGCAAACGTTGCTGGTTCATGTGATGTCCCTCAGGCATTTCTTATATTTGTCTTTCTTAACTCTTCCCAAGTGCCCTGATTTTATACAAATAATCTAGTAGTTATTAAGTCACAGAGGCAGAGTGACATTGCCTCCTACCAAAAGCTGATGCACAGGCAGACTGATAAATTAACCAAATACAAGACTGAGCTTTAGCGGTCCATGTGATGCTACACTAGAGACAACACAGTTCTGCTGAATCCCTGTGGAAAGGGCTTAGTCTCCAGGCAGATATGCTTACAAGCACTAGCATGGGCACCTCTGGCACCTGAGTGTGGCACCTCTGGCACCTGAGTGTGGCACCTCTGGCACCAGAGAGACAAGGGCATTGGAGGAGTGGGATGCTCTGAGGCAAGTAACAGTATTTGAGCCCAGTGCTGTTGATTGATACCATGTACCTGCATGGTGTCTGGCACTTTTGGATGTTCCCTGAATAAGTGGATAATAAGGCAAATCAGAGTTTTGTGGAAACTGATCCAGGAAGGCATTAATGGGCAAAGACAACATCCCCCCACCAACTTCAGTAAAGAAAAAGCTTGACCTTGCCTACAGCAGGATTTAGAGGTGTGGTTTAGCTGTTGCAGGTTAACCAACACTTTTTAAAAGCCTTGTCTAATGAAATATCTTGCTCTGGCACTGTAACATTAGGGAGAGATGCCTGAGAGCAGTGAGGGATGGTGAGCAGCCCCAGAACACCCTCATTGCCTTCTGTGCCCAGGGAAGAGTAGTAAGCAGAGGGAAATCTGTCTCTCATTGAGACAGATGCCAACTGCTGGGCATCCCTGTTCTTACTGTCTCTGAAACACAGGGCCCTGTGCAGCAGCAGCCAGTCCCTTCCTACCCCACAGCCTCAGGGTAAGCTTGTGAAGTCATAGCTGGTCTGTCACTGTGAATGTGCAGAGCAGAGCTGAGCTCAGTTACTGGACAAATATTGGTCTTGGACCCCTCAGTTATGGGAGGGCAGATGCTCATGCTGTGCATAAGGGCATGGAAAGATGCAGATGCACTGTCACTATTTTCTTCTAAGTATTTCCCTTCAAAAGACTCCAACAAAGAATTTCAGAACTGTCTAATAATCTTGTATGTCTGTTGGGAATACTGAAATGGAGAAGACTTTCAAAAGGTGCTTAGCAAGCACATGCCGAAAACCTAGTCCCCCTCCTCCCAGACTGATAGCCAGGACCACCAGATACTTCAGTCTGACCTTCAGCAGTTTTTACCTAAACTGACATTTTTCAAACTGAAGTTTTCCAGACTGGTCTCTGACAGCAGATTTGCTTGGGACAGTGAAGAAGAAATGCCCTGCAAATGCACTGTTGCCTTAAAGCCGACAGCAAGGTGGTTTCATTAGCGAAAGGGGTCCAGCAGAAAAATGACGTGGGACAGCATGAAGCGATGCCAAGGAAATAATTTCCCAGTACTGAAGAAAAGTGATTTTGTTCTGGAAAAGGCCTGAGGGCACAAAATAACTGTTTCCATACATCTATGGTAACACCACACAGTTTTAAAAATCTTTCCTACCATGTATGTGCTATTTTTAATAATTAAAATAAGGGAAAAATGTCAACACATTCCTTATTAGACTTATCTACATAAAACCATACCTCAAATCATAAAACGAGTTTTGTTATACAGATGGAAATCTCTCAGTACTAGGCCAAAGGAGAATCTGAGAAACTTACTCTTTGTGGTACATCCAAGAGAAAATGAAGAGGTACTTGATTACAGTCTGCAAGAGGTTTCTGGCAGTTGAGGACACCATTTTTGAGCAAACAAAAGCAAAATGAAATTCAACAGCTAGGAAGCAAAACTAGAAGAATGTAGATTGCAAACAAAAGAGACTTTCAGAGCACCATAACTAATAATGAGAAGAGAAAGTGCCCAGCAGTGTTGTATCCTTTAATTCACCCGAAGACTTTACATCAAGAGTGGGTGTCTTTGGAAAAGACACATTCCAGTTCAACCATGATTTATGTGCTTGGTTGTCAGAATCACGGGGTGAAATGTGATGTATTAATGAAGGGCCCAGGCTACATGAGCATAATAGTTCCTCCTGCTTTGAACCTTTTTATTTTGAAGAGCAGCTCAACTTGGTTTGACTGAATTTCTCAGTAACTTAACCTATGCAGAAATAAATGTGGTTTAAATGAAATAAGTAATCTGTACCAATTGAATTAAGTCCTCTTTAGTTAAACCAGTGGAAGTTTCTCATCAGAGACAGCTTCTCTGAGCAGGAGAAAACAACTATGAAGATCCAAGAGCCCAATACTGTTCTGGGAAACATATTTATATTTTTTTGTATGTTTTCACAATTACAAGCAGCTGTAGTGACAGATCAGATTTCCAGTCCTTTCTAAGAAAAGTATGCATCTGTTCTATTTATTTCCAGCCTCTCAAAGGATTCTTTAAAATTATGCTCTTTTATGTCACCCAGCTGTGGCGGTCTGCGGCAAATCATTGCAAGGGTGTAACACAGGGAGGGCCAGTGCTTTCATATCGGTGCTCCAGGCCCTCCCTTTTGCACTAAATACTTGGGATACATTTTCAGTCTTCTCAGTTAGTTAGGGAGAATGGCTCTGGCAATGAATCTCTGCTCTGCACCAAGTCTTAGCCAGCCCCAAGCATTCAAAAGGAGAGGCTGGGCAAAGGGAGGATTTGGCAAAAATGAAGGACAGGAGCCAGCCTAAGACACCTCACCCTAATGAAATCCAGGCTTTGACCCAAATCTTAGTGTTAAACAAGGACAGAGAAAGCTGAGCAGCAGCAAAACAGAAACACACATGCCCCCTCTCCACAAAACCCAGCTTCTGTTCCAACTTCTTCTCAAGCAGTGACCAAACTGGCGTTTGCAAATACCAAGGGGCAACCATCCTAAGAGCAAAATCTGGATCACTCGGGAGGAAAAAAAAGCCAACCATAAAATAAAACAAATCACTCTGAGGAGAAACCGTACTTCCAGCTTCCCAGAGGTCTACTCTTGCTACTCATATCCTTGCAAAACTCCCCAATTCCAGTGCCAGGAAACAACTCTGCCACAAAGTCCCGCAGCGCTGACTCGTGTCCCGTTCCTCGGAGTCAGCGCTGCATCAGCAGGATGCAAGTCCCTGCCCGCTGCCACTGGCTGACGCACCAGTTGGCCTCCCACCCCGGATGGGAATCTCATCCTCTCAAACACAGAGATGGAAATAAAAAGGCAGCTAACTTCCAAGAAACAATTTCCAGCAGCCTAACGGTAGTTTATGTATAACACTCATGTGCCCAGGCAGCTGACTGGAGGTATAAGTTCCTGGAGAAGAAAAAAACACCTTGCTCTATCCAGTGCTGCTCTATTAAGTCACAGGCAACAGTCAACGTTTAGAAGTAAAAAAAAGCACTTACAGGTCTGAAGGATTTGAAGACTTTTTCCAATATTTCATGGAGTGTCTTTTTCCCACAGGAGGAGATGTAATCCTGTGCGAGCTGCAGAAAAGGTAAGCAGTCTTCACTTTCGCTCCACACGTGCTGCAAGCCAACAGCAACACAAGAAAGTAAAGGCATTAACAGGAATTCACGCCAACCTTTCCATGTGATTTTATAAGGTCACATGTTGTAAACATCTGCCAAAGTACACCGAGCCTCCTGCAGTTCAAGACCCGCCCTGGGGACAGGCGCTGCAGGCTGTTTCAGAAGCCACACTTCTGAGAAGGAACCCGCATTTTATTAACACGATGCATCAGAAAGCAGGGAAATAGATCCAGAAGTGAAACTGCCTCATGACTGCACCAGCAATGAAGGGTATGCACACTTTGTGCATGCACATTTTACCCATAAAGGTGTTTTCATTTGACATCAGCCCTGCTCAGACCTGGAAGTCACATTGGGTTTTCTCCTCTTCTGCATCACCCACTGCAGTGAAGCCCTCAGGGAGACAAAGCATCTCTTTCTGTTCCTGGCGTTAGTGCAAATATGATGTGACCCCGGAGGTGGAACTTGATGTGTAATTCTCTTGACGATGCAGAAGAAAAGATGTAAAATACACCCGCAGTCTAGACACAGTGCCAAGGAGAGATGTTTGGGCACTCACAACATCCTGACAATTCAAGCCTCCCTCCCTGTTCTGAGGTTTACTCCTCTTACAACCTGATCATCTCTTCACAGGTAGGCACACTTAAACCCATTTCAGATCTTCCTCTCATCTTGCTCCTGCTTCGGAGATGCTGCTCCCCCAGCCTGACTCTGCGAAACCTCTCCCAAACTGATGTTTATTCTGCTGCTAGGAGGTTTTTCGTTTGAAACAGAGCTGGCAGGTGATGGTGGGAGTGCTCAGACAAGAAGGGCAGCACACAGCACACGCTAATGTATAACCTTTAAGACTTTCTTCTGGAAGATTTTTTGTATGGAACTGTCTTAGGCAGTCAGCTACACAGAGAAGCACGATACTGCCAAATTGGTTTGAGACTCTGGTACCTCTCTTTTTGCACAGCAGCTCTTTTCCCCAAAGTGCCGTGTAGCTTTTTACTCTGCTATAAACAGCAGGTTACACTTAAACAAGGAAAAAGGAGGGTCTCTCTGAAGCTTAACTAACATTCAGGGAAAGACTCAAAATGACAGATGTTTCAATCCCTAACATAAGGCTTGCACGTCACCTTCCCCTTCAGTGGTGAGTACCCGTCAGGGATGCAGTTTTACACTTAAAGAAAGAAAACAGTACTTAACATCATCTAAGCTGCACCTTTAAGATAAAAACTAGCTGCTTTGCTATGAACCTCACTTGACCTACATTTTCTTTGCTGCTTGTTGCATTTTACAAGCATAAACATAGTGAAATGTTTTGTTATGAAAACAACTCTGCATTACTGAGTAGGTTCTGCTCTTCCATATAACCAGAGTCATCTCTTAACCATTCTGGCAATAAAAATAAGTTCTTTGCAGTCTTGCCAGCTCTCAAATGCACATACCACAAGTCTCATGATACTTCATGCCATCTTAGAGTCATGGGCCTTGCAAACCTATAAATATACAACTAAATCTCAGCTTCTGTTTACAAAAAAAAAGGCAGAAAAAAAGCCTGCACTTTGTGATTTTTACGGTCTAAAAAGGCAGAAGGTACATGAAGTGAACTCAAATGAGCCCTCTATAAAATAACTAATGAACACTTTCAACTTAGAACATTTTAAGAACAGCCTCAAGATTTTGGAGCTCTGGCTCCTTACTTCAGGTTAGCAATAACTCTTTAGTTATTCCTAATCTTTTCATCGAACTTCAGAGCTGGATATTGCAGCTTGGCAATTCCTGGCTCGTACTAAACCTGTTGTAATTGTTTATATGTATAAAACGATTATGACTGCTGAGATCCTCATTCTTGTTTAAATTGTGGCTTCTTTCGACTACCAGAGCTATACACAGGAGCTTCTACATAAATAAAAATCAAGTCCCGCCCTTTAATGAATAATAGGTACTTCGTTCCCCAGGGAAAGGTAACTCCATGTTGTCCTACCATGTTTTTACAATCTCTTTTCAAGCTGTACCATGTTTTAGACTCCAGTGTGAATTTGTCAGCAGTATTGCAGAATAAGATGCATAAGGGGCAAACCTAAGGGAGTAACTCGATCACTGAATTTTTGAGGAGACTTTTTTGCATAGCATCATGAGGCAATAGCAAGTAAGGCTTCCAACAATCTCTCCATGTGCAGAAGATTTCAAATGTTGACTGTAGCAACAAATGCACTATGAAAGGTCTCACATGCCATTAGTGCACGCATCTCCTTCGGAAATGGTTTGATTTTATCTTTGCCCCCAAAAAACCTCAACCATAATAAATACCAGGGTTATAATGCCTATAGGTTATAATGCCTACAGCTCTCTGTGGAGGTTCAGTGCTGCAGCAAGGCAGTGCAGGAACTGTCTCAGCACTGACTCATGCGTCTCCAGAGGAACCTTCAAAAGGAATTTTGGTACCTCAAAATAAAAACAAATGTAATTTGAGGATTCAGCTCCTGCTTAAAAAGTTAAAGCAGTAATTAAGGCTACACATAAGGAGATGTTTTTCCTGGAAAACCTGATGCCTAAGGATCTCTTTGCAGTGGGAGAAGCAGTCTGCTGTCAAGCTGGTGGACCACAGTGCCCAGATGTGGCTGTTTAATTAAAAAAATATTAACCTCATCATCTGAGTATGTGTTTTCCAAGCTTGCCCAGTTTTGCTCACAGTTGCTTTGTGTCACTACAAAAGCACACAGACACTAATTTCCACCTCAAGTGACCTAGGATCATGGTTGAATTATTTAGCTCAGCATCTACACACTGCAGATAGCTGAGACAATTCATAGGGCTGCATCTGGAAGGGTTTGCTTTCCCTCACACTTTTAGATCACTCAGTGTTGCTGGACAACAAAGTCACTTCCTAGACCACCTTTTTCTAACCAGCCAACTCGTTGAGCATGGCAGCAAAACTTTTTCTGTGTGAGGATGATTCCATTTGCAGAAAATATTCAGACTCACTGGCTCTGTTCTAAAATATTTTACAGGAAATCTTGAATCAAAATGGCCTCATATTTTTATTTATTTTATCAGTTACTTTGAATATCAGTATATAAATAACATGGTGACAAAACAAATGACAGATGACAAGGAATAGCATCACAACCCTTACCCTCCTTGATTATGGCTACACAAGGCCAATTAATTTCTTGAGAACACCATAAGCCTCAGGAGCTAAATTATACATAGTTCAGCTATCTAAAATGCTGATTCAGAGAGTTTTAGTGTCCAAGTGGTACTGAAAACGTCAATAAGCGTCTACATGGGTTTCCTGCATCTCTACCATGTTAAAGACCTAGCTCAAATATAGCTTTTCAGGAAATTAAAAATATTTGATTGTTGTGATCTGGCATCTCTGATTTTATACAAAATTCAGAATTATTCTCCCCCAGATTGGATCTTGACAACCTTTCCATGTTTTTCTCCTCCTCCCTTATAAGTACATGAGGCTCATCATTTCCTCCTTACAAGTGGGTTATCACGGACTTCTCTGGCACCTCCTACATAGCTTTTTAAGTTGCATTATTATGAAATGAAGACATAAAAAAAGAGTACAAGAATACCAGGCACGAGATACTTATTAAATGTAAGGCTCCTTTATAGGAGTCACAGGGTGCAAAAAGGCTGTAAAGTGTGTCACTGTGAATTCTGTTTATATTTACTCACTTTCACACTCCATTGTGCCAAAGGAGCCATGCAACAAGGTTTAAAGTGCAAATTACAATCAGTCCCTTGGCTTTTATTAACTCTTCTTAAAATAAACTTTAGCCTGTAATCAGATGTAGAAAGGAAAGTTATCTTTTGGAAAACAAGGGGGAAAAAAAAGACTGCAAAAAAACCCAAGATAGCCAAGCTGGGACTAGAAATTAAGCCCTACTAGGAGCAGAAAACAGGATTCTGGAGAATCTGCTCATTAGTGGGTCATAATCACATTAAAGAGACACCATCAACAGGAAAAAAATTAAGAATGACACCTATTTGCCTGTTTTAAAAGTATTATCATTACAAAAAGTGCCTCAAGTACTAATGCTGAAAGAGACAGAAGACTGCTTCTAGTTTTCCACTGTTTATGTTCCACATAAGAGTTGGTCCTTCCGTTCAGGTTTACTACTGGTGGCTCTGGGCAGGGAGTCTTTCCCACAGGTACCCTGGAATGAAAATATTTGTCAAAAGAGGGGGAAATGTGACTGAAAATTCAAAAAAAAAAAAAAAAGGTCAGTGTTGGAAGCATGGGAATTGAGTCTGAAACTGCTTAAGATTTTTTTTTAAAGTTGACTAGACTTTGATTTGAAAGAGTTCACTCAATTACTGAGCAGTGTATAAAGAAACAAAACATGTCTAAGAAAAATAATGGGCTTTCTTTGCAATTTCCAATAGCATTAGTGTCCAATCATAGTTTTAGCCTAGTGCTGCACTGGATTTATCCCTGCTTAAGAGTCCATCAGGCATGGCCCTTTCTGGGCACAGGCATCTCTAGAGAGGAATGTGCACTGGGGTCTGACAGGCTCATAGGTGCTGGGAAGATGGATGTGCAGGGCTAGTCCCACAGAGGACTGAGAGACTCCACACCCTGAGATGCTCCACTGCTACAGCTGGAGATCTCATGTATCATCCCTGGACAGATGCATAACTAAACTCCAGATAACTTCTTTCATAATTCAGCATGACCATCTGCCCAACACAACAAATAAATATCCCGCTTGCTGGGATCTGTGGTCCAGGAGAAGTCACTTCACTGCTCTTTGTTTCCATGGACCCATCTGTCAAATGAGCTAACTCTGCACTTACCTGTTCAAAAGGGAATTAGCGAATATTTGTCAAGCAGGTGGAGGGAGAAGACTTGCTCCGGGAAGGGAAAGACCTACAACATTCCTACAATAATGATCTGTGCTAGGAGCTATTTTGTTAAAAAAAAAAAAAAAAGAAAAGAGTAAAATAAAACCCTTTCATTGAAGTTAACTCGCACTTGGCAGGTTACAAACCTCGTGTCGAGGTGCCGCTTTTCGGTGACTCTTCCTGCACTTCTGCTCACCACCGGGAGGGTCTGGACAAGGGGAAAAGCACCCCCCGACACCCTTCCCAAAGCCCAGTGCTGTGGTGCCGGTGCCTTTTCTGCACGAACTTGCCGCTGAAATCGGCGACGGGCGGGCGAGGAAGGGGCGCGGCGGCCGCGGCGGCACCTGCCCGGATTCCCCGGCCCCGGCGGGCCCGGGGGAGCGGCGGGGGGGGCGCGGCCCTCCTGTCATCCTGACTCCATTTTATCCCTGCCCATTCTCCATTTGCCGTGACAGTCCTGCCAGTCCGCCCGTCCCTGCGCCGTGCCCCAGCCCGGCATCCCGGGAGGATGGAGGCGCCGCGGGGGGAGCAGCAGCTGCAACCCCGCAGGGCGCGGGAGGCGGGGGGGCTCGCACCCCTCCTCCCCGCCCGCCCCGGGGCCCGCAGCCTCCCCGGGCCGGGGCGATGGGGATGAGGGGTGCGAGGGGGGTGCCCCTGCCCGCGGGGCCGCCCCCCACCGCCAGCAGACTCCATTTTGCAGACTGTGGGAGGATCCCCCCGGCCCCCGGCCCCGCCGCTCTCCATCACCGCATCCCTCCCTCCTGGGCTCGGCCCCGTCCTCCGCCCCCTCGGCGCTCCCCCTCCGGTGCTCCCCCCAAGCACCGGCGACCCGCACGGACGGAGCGTCCCAAAGAGGCGCAAGGGCTTCCCCACCCGCTCCCGCACCCACGCGGGGCACCCGCGCACGCCCGTGACCCCCGATCCCCTCCCGGGGCACTCACGAAATTGTCCCCGCAGGCGGCCTCCGGGCACAGCACGTAGAAGGAGACGCCGGGCTCGGCGTAGAAGTCCATGCGCCGCTCCGTTTCCTCGGCGGCGATGAGCTGGAAGGGCGTGCGGGCGCACCACCGCTCCGCCGCCTCCGCCAGCGCCTCGAAAGCCATCGCCGACCCCGCCGCCGCCGCCTCCCGCCGCCTCCCGCCCGCGTCCCCCGCACCGCCCGCGCCCCCCGCGCCTCGCACCGCCCCGCGCCCGCCCCCCGCACCGCCCCGCCCGCCCCCCGCACCGCACCGCGCGCCCCGCGCCCCGCTCCAGGCACCGGCCCCGCTGGAATTCGCTGCAGACAATTGACTCGACGCCTTCTGGCAACTTGGGGGCGGGGGGGGGGGGGGGGGGAGAAGGAAGAAAAAATCGACAAAAAAAAGCCTTCAAGCCCACTCAGGAAGGCGCTGTCGGCGAGATGATGCCTCGTCTTCCCTCTTCCCTTCCATCTTCCCAGAACTGGGCCGGCATCTCGGCAGAACCCACTGTGCTAAACTCACTGGTGGGTACCCCCTTGCACTGGATTCGTGGGAGCCACCCACATGTGAGCTGTTGGGCTGTCCAAATGTGGACAGATTCCACCCCATGACACTGGAAAGCTTTATAGAGGTTGCTCCCAGCCCCCCATCCTGTCACTGGGGGCTGGTGGGTTTGCAGTGAGGTTAACGTTACTCTTCCAAGCTTATCCCAAATGATTATGTATATATCCAGCAAGGCATAGGAGGAAAGCGCTGGTCTGCATTTGTAAAGGGCCTTAGATTTGCATCAGTGTCCACTGTGCCACAAAGGAAAACAAATCCCCACAGGCCTGGATGGATTTTCAGCTGGAAGCCTGGGAATTCATAGAGGGGAATAGGAAGCACAGAGCCCATACGTGGCAGTGGGCAGAAAAGTTTGCAAGGACAAAGACAACACTGGCCTCTAACACAGCCAGTTGCTTGTCTCCTGAGTGGTGTTTAACTGCATTTCCACAGCAGGTACCAAATGCCCAGCTAATATGGTCTGTGTCACACATCATACACTCCCATCGTACGTATTAGTCGGTACATAAATCATTCGACCACTCCAAAGGAATCAGTGAGGTCACTCAGTGATCTTAGAGGTCTTTTCCAACCTGTATAACCCTGAGATTAGCTCAGTTGGTTAGAGTATGGTGGTAATAATGTTTCTATGATTCCAAGTTGCAGAGGTAATGAGGCCAAGCACAGCAGTGCTGGCAAGGATGCAGCCCCACTGCCTCTGGCTGGCCCAGGGCGTGCTCTGAGCACCCATGCTGCTGTGCTCAGCCCTGTGGTCATTGTCTGCTGCCTCTGGCTTGTCCCAGGTGTGTCCATGGATACAGCAGAACTTGGTACTAATGACACCACAGAGAAAAACCTCCTCTGGCATTGCAGCCTGAGGTATAAAGAAATGCCAACAACATGAGTGCTTGTGCAACTGTAACTCAGACCCTTTCTGCATGTGGGTTGTGAATGACTGCTGGTTTTCCCACAAAAGGATATTTTCATCTATTCTTCACAGACAACCTGGATAATGCCCTCATTCCTGGGTTGCTATTAGAGTGGCAAGTGCTGAGCACCCTTCATTACACTTGGAGCTGTGCTCTGAATGTGCAAAGCATTGTAAAAATTGCTAATGTTCCAAAGCTCCTGGTCTAAGTGCCTCAAATCCCAGAATCCAGGTGTGCTTTTGTAGGTAATTACCCTGGTCCTGCTGCATGTCTCTTCACCAGGGGAAAATGAGGCAACATCAGTCTCCTACCTACTGCACAGGTCTGGGGAGGTGAGTGAAGTAATACCTGCAAAGCCTTGCTGCGTAGGGCACTTAAAGACTTATGGCTTTGCAGGAAGCCTGGGGCTGGAGCGGTGTGTCCTGAACAGCTGGAAAGGAAATCCTAAACCTCTTGCCATTTTCTGAAGGAGGCAGGGGTCCTGCAGAAACCCAAACATGATTGCAGGTTGTTGGGCCTCCAGGGGTTGGCAAGGCTGTGAGTCCTGTGCAGGGCTTTTCAACTTCAGCACTCTTTCATTGTTGGGTATTTGGTGTTTTCTTTTCCAAGTGTATTTAAGTAATTAGCATGAAAATTGGACATGAAAAAATACAGCCTTTTCTCCTAAAATGTGACAGTGACTGCTTTCCAGCAACCAGTGGGCAGGATGCTACCACCAGGACAGACATGTCCCACGCCACTGTGCTCAGCCACCAAGGTCAACCTCAATCCCACTGTCTCTTTGTGCTTCCCCAAGGTGGGCAGCCAGGCAGCCATATCCTCCTGCCTGACAGCGCCCTGGCGCATAGCAGCAAGGGGAGGTCAGGGCTGCATTGCAAACAGACACAATTTCAAATAAACGAGATCTCAGTGTTAACACCTGTGATTTATATGCATTTTCAAAGCCCCACGTGAACGTGTTTTTAGTCCTTAAAATGTCTCTTTGAAGTATGTGCTGTTCACTATCTCCCTTCTGTGGAGCAGGGAAGCTGACAGGCTTCGAATGAGATTTAAAATATCTTATTGCAGCATGTGCTGCAAAATCCTTTGTCACGTCTGACAGCACAGCCATTCAAATCAGAAAGATGTGATTATTTGTTTATTTACATGTGATGAGTCTCTTTGCCCCAACACCTGTACGCCAAGAGCAGATCATAAAAACAACCTGGTAAAGGCTGATGATTTTGGCAATGCTAGAAAACAGCCCGCAGAAGTGCTGCTTGCAGAGCAAGCCAGGCTCAGTGGCCCTGGCCATCGTGCTGATGTCAGAGGCTGAGGGATGGCAACATGGACGTGAGGCAGATGCAATGTTCATGACACCCTTATGCCTCTCTGCAAGTCAAAATCAGAAGCACCTGCTGCTCGTTTGAGGAGATGAGTAGATGGCCAACGATGCTGTACAATGCCTCAGCTTTTCTGAAATACTGTATACCGAAACCACACACATCGTTCTTCTTCCTACTTATTCCAAATACCCGTAACCATTCATGCCCCAAAGCATGGCCATATAAGGGGAGCAACTGTCTTCTTGGGAGAGGAGAGGGGAGGTCAAGAAGCTGTCTGCTGTGGCAAGGATGGCTTGCAGATGGAAAACTGCACCAGAGGGAAGGTAGTTTCTCCTGTCCTGCAGGGATGCATTTCCATTTCCATCTTCTTCTGGGACACAGAAGAACCAGCAGCTCTGGTTCTTTCCATTGACCTGATCCAGGCCATAGCGAGGGCAGGGAAATGTTGCTAGATCATTTCAGAGGGATGCCACTAGCCAGTAACTGTCATCTACTGGAAAACACATTTCAATTTGAAGAACATATGGAGAGTATTAGGAAGAGAGAGCACGTGCCATGCCACAGCCATACTAGTTGGAACAAAAATATAAATATCCGCACTTTACAGGTGACTTCTGGTTCTATGCAGGTTCTCCACATTCACAGAAATTAAATAGTCAGGTGAAAAGGGAATGACAGCATGAGGATTGAGAGGATAAACCAATTTTCTGCCATTTGCATGGATTGGAGGAGGTGTGGAGGGGAAGGTTTTTAAAGTACCTGGCTCCCAGGAGTTATCTTTACAAAAGATCTTGCCTCTGCAATGCCTGGTGATGAGCATGGTCTTGAAGGCTGAAAACTCGACAGCCCTGTGCTCAAGTGAGGAAAGGGAGAGTACCTTGCTAGGTGTTCACTATTCCCCTACTCCTCCAGGACACAGCGACACTAAAGGACATGGGGAAAAAGCGTGCAGGGGAGGGGGGAGCGAGAAACTGCAGAGGGTGGTGGAGCAGAAGGGTTTTTGAAATGTGTCAGACAAAGGCAACTTGCCCATGGCTGTGGTGCCTCTCTGAAACACTGAACCACTGTTCTACTCTACAGCAGGTTAGAAATCTGAAAAATCCTACCCATGGACTGGCCACCTTCAAGATTTTTTTTTTCCCTTGTGAAGAGCCCTCATTGGTCTGCTTTTGGTGAACTGCCAAGCAATTCACACTAATTCGCCTGACCAGCTGTAAGAACTCGATTGCCCTCTTGCAGCCCTCATTATGCACCCTTCCTGCTGATCTAAATACAGAAAGGTCAGGAGGGTGAGCTCCAGTAAATTATTAGAGATACACCCTTAACTGCTGTTCTGTGTCAGCTTATTCTCTTGCATCTCTGTGCTGTCTCCACAGTTTGGTTTCCTACAGAAACCTTGCTCCAGAAGACAAAAGCATCAAGAAATCCTAGGAGGAATTAAATAGGTGAGGGAGATTGATCCCCTCGTGGCCAATCCCTCATAAACCTTCTTTACACCATGGACCTTTAAAAAGAAAATATTACTTATTGTTATCAGTACTGGCTCATTCACAACATGCTTTTCACCTGTCCAGAGCCTTGACATTTGCGCTTGCTTGAGAGAGGTGCTGAAACAGTTGTGCCTGCAAAAGCCTGGCCTATGCAGGGCTTCCAATGGTGCTTGCACCCTCACAGCTCTACATGCATTTCCACCGAGCCTGTAACAGCATTAAATGTGTCCTGCTGCAGCAAAGCAGCAGTGGGTTCTTCCAAGGACTCAAGCTGAGTGACTGTTGACCAACAGATCCATTTATAACTGCCAAGTATCTACCCTGAGGCTACTAAAAAGTAAAAAATTCCTGGCTGCTATATTTCCAATCTGCCCATCAGCTGCTGCATCTTCCCTGAGCACACAGCCACGTCGTCCCCTGAGGCTGGAGTCCAGGAGGCAGCACACTGGTATCTTGCAAATTGTTCCCCACCTGACTTCCCTGCTCCTGAGGATACTCAGCTTTTCAGAGCTTCTAGACAGTCTGTGTTTTTCTTGTCTTTAACGAGGAACACAGCTGTTTGCTTTGCTTTGGGTTGCCTTTCTTTTTTTTTTTCCTCCCATTTCTATGGTAAATGGAGTTGAGAAAGGAGCAAGAAAACTGTGAAGAATGATCCAAGCCAAGAAGATGTAGAGGGAAAGTGAATTAGAAATGCACAGTTTCTCAATTAAATTAAAATGTTAGTTAAAAATCTATATAGAATGAAGATCCTGCTGCTCACACAAATCCTCCTTTTGAAGTCAGTGGTTCAATATCCTATTGCTTTGGCAGTAAGAAATTAAACACATAAATAGTGATGAAGATCTGGGCTGTGAAAATCTGCTTGCTAATTAGAAGCTTTCCCTGGTGGCAT